AGGAGAGCTGAGGCTGCCTGCCCAGGGAGCCCTGGGCACCAGCGCCAAGGCCAAGCCTCTAGCCAACCTCCAAGCCAGCGCAGCAGCCCAGAGCCCTGATGCAGGGCGCAATCTGACCTCTGGACAGAAGGGGGCGCCATAGTCTCACCTTTAGACGTCCATTAGCCGGCCCATTCTTATAGCACCAGGTGCAGCTGGTCATAAACGTTCCTACCACCCCCATCCTGCCTCACCCTGCCCCCCGAGGGTGTCCTCCCTTGCTTTGGGGTCACTGGGCAGTGGAAGACACCATCTGGGACAGGGAAAGTGACAGGTTTAGCCAGGGGCGGGGAGGGGGTTGGAGAGGGGCTGGTGTGTGGGGAGGTGACAGCATTTCTGGCTAAAGGGCTGTGGTTGGCTGGCTGCTGGAGGGGCAGGGATCTCGTGCACATGGGTGCCGTGGGAAGGGGTTGAGGTTGTCCCGTGGGGGTCAGGCATGAACTCCAGAGCCACGCAAGGCAGGGGCTGTGAGTAGAGCACGGGGTCAGCCCCTCCAGGGTACACCGTGTCTCTCGGGGTGTGGAAGACTGGACTGGAAGTGACAGGGAGCCCCTGTGGCTATCACCAGAGGCGGCTGTCTCCTCTGTTCCGGGCCACAGAGGGCAGTCACACACTGGGAACACACCTGCGGGTGCCAGGCTGGGCTTCCAAGGTAGCCTGGGAGCAGGGAGCCCAGGCGTGGGCCTTGGGAGTTCCTGAGTGGGCTGGGGTGAGGAGTGAAGGGTGGGCCATGGTGTCATTTGCTGAGAAGGGTCCATGGGGTGCCAGTGGGTTTTGGGGGGCACATGGTGAGTTTGAGGTGGCTAGGGAGTCCCTGGGGGTGCAAATGGTAAACCCACTCGGCTTTTAACCAAAAGGTTGGAGGGTTGCCTCCACCCAGAGGCTCCTTGCAAGCAAAGCCTGGTGACCTACTTCTGAAAGAAATCAGCCTTCGACAACCCTACGGAGCATGGTTCCATTCTGACGCACATCGAGTTTCTGCGAGGCGGGATCTCCGTGGCAGCTGGGTTTAGGGGGCTATGGAAGTGGAGAACCAGTGGCTCTTCCTGCAGAGTCTCTTTCACAAAAGCACTCGCTGCGGACCAGCTGGGGACCAGGCCCTCTTCCGGGAGGGAGCAGCTCTCACCATTATCAGGCCAGTTTTACAGATAGGGAACCGGAGGCAGAGAGGGGCCATGCTGCTTCGTGACAGAGGGAATGTTTGTTTATCCTGAGTGGGAATTACTCGCCTTTGTAAATCTGAGGATTGGTTTCTCAGAGCACGGGATGGGCAGCCATAACCAGGACGTTCCCAAATGGAGTGTCTCCACCGAGAAAGATGATTCTCCTGCAACATCGCAGAGGTGGGAGGCGGGCCCGAGTTAGTGAGCTACTCTGCGCCCTGGAGTCATCTTAGGGACCTGAGTTTCTGCTAGTCTCTGCCACGTTTGTACGGCCTCGCTCTGGCCAAGGAGGAAAGGGGGAGTAGAGGGTGAGCAATTCTCTCACAGGAAGCCGTGTGCCCCATTCATCTTTAGCTGTAGAACCTCCCTCCCAAAGGTGAATGGGGCATGAGGCGTCCTAGTGAGTAACTTTATTGGCCAGTCTCCCTTGAACTTGAGCGGCTATGTGCCTAAGTTCTCACCAATGACATGTGAGTTGAATGATCCGTGTGACTTCTACATCGAGGTTCTATTGCTCACAAAAGGAAGGGGAGGGGAGATACTGGGGGGGGCGCTTAGCCATCCCTTCCATGGTGTTCTTCCAGAATTCCAATTAAATACATATGCGACCTCCCTCTGTCTCTCTCTGATGCGTTCGGGTCATTTCTTTCCACCCTTTGTCCAGTTCACTCATTCTCCCTTCAGCTATGTTTATTATGCCATTGAAGCCATCTCTTGAGTTTCTCATTTTAATTACCATATTTTTAAGTTGTAGACATTGTACTTGGTCCTTTTTCTCGAGGACTGGGTCATTTTTATAGTCTCCTGTCTTTTGTTATGTTTTCAGTACTTCTTTTATTTCTTTAAATATAGTCACACTTCTTTTCTATTCCACGTCATGCCCTTTCACAATCTGCTGTCTCTGCAGAGTCTGAGTCATGGTCATGCTCCTGTGTCCATCCCATGTTTCCACGGCAATGATTGGTATCACATACGCACTGCAGCATTTTCTCTAGGGATTCTGCCAGCCATTCTATGGAGCATGACTGACTCCACACCATCTTACACTTGTAAAAAATCAATTTGACTGTTTCACACTTTGCTGCTTTTATTGGGCAGTCGCAGTCTAAGTAAAGGCAGCGTGCAAGCCAATCCAATGAAGCTTCCAGACAAGGCCGGGAGCCCGCCTCCCACCCAGAGCGAGTCAGAAGCATCCATTACCCGGTTGTTGGGCGCTGTCAGTTGATTCCGACTCACAGCGCCCCTAGAGGACAGAGCAGAACTGCCTCACACGGTTTCCAAGGCTGTCATCTTTATGGGAACAGACTGCCAAATCTTTCTCCCACGGAGTGGCCGGTGGCTTCCAACCACTGACCTTTCAATTAGCAGCTGAGTGCTTGCTTAACCACTGTGCTACTAGGTCCTTACTCTAAACCTAGACACTTCCACCCAGATCCTAAGCACACAGCCTTTCTGTGGAGTATTGGTTTCCTGTTACATTCCTCTCCTGTGGTTGCCATAACCAGTCATCTGCTCAGCTGGAGGGCACCAGTCAGACATAGGCTTCACTGGGCAAAAGTCAAGAAGCCCGGTGGTGCAGCGCCTAAGACATTTGACTACTAACCAGAAGGCTGGTGGTTCAAACCCACCAGCTGTCCCATGGAAGGAAGATGGGGCAATCTACTTCTATAGTGATACTGCCTCTCTGACTCTGACCTGTTTCCTCTTTCACTGTTAAGGATCCTTGCGGTTGCATTGAGGCCCTATGCCTAAATCTCTGCCAAGTCTCCTTCGCCATGGAAGGTAACACATTCGTAGGTTCCCAGGGTGAGGACGTGGGCATCTCTGGGGGGTCTCTGCTCAGAGTCCTATGAGGCTAAAATTGAAGTGTCAGCCAGCAGAGTTCTTAGAGGAACACTCGGGAAGGAACCGCTTTCAAGCTCATTCAGGTGGCTGGCAGACCTTGGTCCTTGCTCTGGTCGGTCTGAGGGTCCTTGCTAGCCGTCAGCCAGGGGCTGCCCTCAGAGCCTGGCTCCCAAATGTGACGTAACCCATTCACAGGATCTGGGGAGGGAGAAGGATGTGGGCACTTTGAGGGCCACTTATCTGGACTCACATGGGGGCTGACGACCTGCCATCCACCTGCTCAGACCCAGGCTCTGTTGCCTGGCTCCTGTCCCTTTAGTTCTCCATCATTCATCAGTGACTGGCCATCTCACCTCACGCTTTGGAGTTCTGCACTGGGAGGAGTTTTGCAGACATCCAGTCCCCATTGTTCCATGAACCTCACAACTTTCTCACATTGTACTCTAGCCCACCCCCTCCAGTTTCCCCATTTTCAGCTGTGGCTCCGTGGTTTCTGGGTAGAGACAGTGTGCAGAGCTGAAGCCTGAAGGCCAGGGAGGCTGTCACCTCCCATTTGTCACTTCAGAGGGCCTCTGGCTTGGACCTTGGTGACCCAAATCTCACACTGTCTCAGCCCAAGGGGCATGTCCCCAAATGCAATGTGCTGCTCTGCCTCTCCCCACTCTAGACCTTCTGTGGCTCTTGCCACACCAAGGCACCTTCCCTGCTAGATCAGCGGTCCTGGGAGCACGCCATGGTATCTGCAGGGTCACTCTGGTGACTGCCGATTATCTTCTCTGTAGAGTGCCCACACTCACAGGGCATGGGCCAAGCTGGTTCGGTCATGGCTGCATCCTGGTTCCTAGCACTAGGAACTGTGGGCAAACTCGCCCAGGGTGGGTCATGGCCTCCACCTGGGAAGTAAGGACGGCCCACTCAGCCCTGTCCCCGAGCATTTGCCCCCACCCCAGGGGCAAGCATCCTCTCTGTCACTTCCCCTTGGCCACATTCCTTCTAGAGGCTCCAGTCCCTCCCTTCACCCAAGCCCCCAGGCACTAGAGAAGCATCTCCATCCAGTATCTTAAACAAACAGTTTATTCAAGGAGAACAATTAGAGACGGTGATGACCAGGTGGGTTACAAAAACAATCAAGGCCTGTCCCCCTCCTGGTAGGGCTGGGGTGCGCGCGCATGTGCACGTGGATGCACAGGTGTCTGTGTGTGTGCGCGCACACGTGTGTGTCTGCACGTGCGCAGACCTGGGCTTGTGCCTGTGGGAATGGCCCACACGCAGCTCGGCCTGGTCCCTGCCCGCCATGTGGGACCCGAAGTAGCTACAAGAGGCCTTCCTCACCCCTTCCCCCACTCTCTCTGAGACCCCGTCTTCTCTGGTGGCAGGTTGACCACCTCAGTCACAAGGGGCCCCAGTCATCCTGTCAAGATATCAGGGGGAAGAGGATAAACAGTCAAGGAGCTGCCCGGCGAGGACTGTCCCCTGTCCCCACTGTACCCTCAGGCAAAGCCCACTCCACAGCGGCCATTTAGGGACAGGGACGGGCCTGGAATCAGGCACACACTTTTCCAGAAGAAGGAAGGAGACCAGAAAGGCCAAGGCCCAGTGACTGGTCCCTCCTGATGGGAAGCCCACCCCCATCCCACAAGAGAAAAGTAACAGTCGCAGAAGAGGCAGGTTCTGGAGCGGGGGTCTGCCCAGAACTGGCGGTGGGATTAAGAGGCACGTTTAATAGATCCTCACAGACTTCCAGTGGGTAGCTATGTCCTGCCTCGCCCCTGCAGGCGAGAGGGGGCTGGTCCTGCCTCTTTCCACCTGGCCATGTGAGGTATTGTACCCCCCACCCCAGCCCCCGGCTCACAGCTGAACCCCCTCCCTGAGCCCCACCCCACCCCACCCGTCCACTCCCCTGCCAGTGAGGTGGTCGGGAGCACCATTGGGAGGCGGTGGGCATGGGGGACCCTAGGTGGGGTCCAGCTCAAAGACACCGTCGCTGGTGGGGGTGGTGAAGAAGGAGGGCGGGTCATCGGAGGGGGTGGAGCCCTGCCCTGCACTGCCCCGCCCCCCCAGGCGCCTCTCCTCCAGCCTCAGGCTCCGCTCGAAGTCCAGCAGCTGCCCCATGAAGTTGAAGTTCGGGGAGATGTTGGCCTTCTTCCTCTTGACCAGGTCGTAGGCATCGTTGAGGGAGAGGTGGAGTTTCTGCATGAGGTAGGCCACGGTGACGGTGACAGAGCGGCTGACCCCGGCCAGGCAGTGCACCAGCACTCCGAAGTTCTGGGACAAGGCCTCGTCTGGGAAGGGGCGGGAAGGGCAGCCTGGCTGAGGCCAAGGCCCTCCCAGCCCTCCTCTTGCCCTCTGGCCGGTGGTCACGGCAGGTGGGGCTTCCCGCCCCCTGGATTTTACCATCCTGCTCTCTCAGGGAAGGGCAACCAAGTGTCCACCTGGTCGACCTCGCAGCAGACTGGGAGGCGCTCTCCAGGGAGGGCTGGGGAACCAGGCGTGGGGGAAGGGCCGACTCACCGATGAACGCGATGGCCTCTGGGAAGAACTGGGACAGGTTCTGGCTCCAGTGGTCCGAGATGGGGATCTGTTTGTAGTGGAAGGCGCCGTTCTTTTCGAAGAGGTTGGGGAGGTTCGGGGTGACGTTGAGGATATAGCGGATCCCCAGCTCGGCCAGGCTCTCCAGGTTGGCCGAGTCCCTGGCGCTGCCCAGGTACAGGTTGGGCAGGATCTGGACGGGAAAGGAAGGCAGCAGCCCCGCTGGGGGGGGCGTGGCCCCCTCCGAGCCCAGGCCAAAGCTTGTGGGGTCGCGCTCCAGCTCAGATTCGGCGTCGGAGCAGTCGGAGCTCAGGCACAGGCCGCCCAGCCCCACCACGGGCATTGGCCTGGGTGCCTGGCCTGCCCTGGGGCCGCCATGGCCCTGGAGGCTGGTCTCACACAGGTGGGGGCACTCGGCCTGAAAGCGGCTGAAGCCACCTGTCGGGGGAGAGGGAGGATCCTGCTTACCTGGCGGGGAACAGAGCCTTGACCCCAGATGTCCCCAAAGGGAACCAGGAAGCCTGCAGCTTCATGTATACTGGTGCCTGTGTGGAGCAGGAGATGGGGCCCAGCCAGCCCCCCACCCCAGGACCACACTCACCGCCCAGTGACCCTCCTTGGCCACCAATTGAAAGGGGTGGGAAGAACTGGCCCTGCCAGGGCGTGGGAAACAGCTGTTGCCCCTCTCCCAGCCCCACTGGGACTATGGGGGTGCCCCCCAGAGCCTGGGATCTGGCCCCCTGTTGCCCCAGGCTGCACAATGACCACCCTAGGAGGCACTTCATTCTTGAGAATTTGCCAAGCTAGGTCAGGTCAGCCCTGCTCTCCCCATTTTGCAGACTCAGAAATTGGGGCCGCACAGGGCGAAGGACTTCACCAAGGGCCTGCTCAGCTCCCCGCCCCCCCCAGCCCCCAGCCGCCTGGCAGGGAGTCAGGGAGGGAGTGTCACCTCCCCTTTGCCCAAGGTCAAATTGGCGATGCAGCCCCTGGGCAGGAGTGGGGGCCCTGCGTCCCCAGGCCAGCCGCGCACACCTACCCTGCAGGTAGTAGGCTAGGTAGCCTTCCTCCCGGAGCTTCCGGAGCAGGGTGCCCAGAACCGACTCGGCCTCCCACTCCTCGGCCGCCTCGGCCTCGGCCTCCCCGCGCCGCCGCCGCCCACCCTCCTGGTCGTACAGGAGCACCGGGGCGGGCGGGGGCGGCTGCAGTGGTGGCCCAGGCAGCAGAGAGCGCACCGCCAGGCTGCCCCGGCGCAGGCGGCGCAGCAGCAGCGGGGGCAGGGCCACGCTCAGCGCCCCACCAATGCGCGAGGCCTCGTACAACTCACGGCTGCGACAGTCCAGGAGCAGCAGCCGCGGCCGCGGGGGCGACAGCTCGTGGCACAGCCACCGGCACGAACGGCCAAGGCCCTCCATGGGCGCTGGCTGCCTGCACGTCGAGCCACAGGCACTGTGGAGAGAGGGGAGGTGGGGATGAGCCTGAGCAGGGCAGCCCGGCAGCCACCCTTGCTCCCCAAGGTGGGCCCCTGGGCCCGTTGAGCCCCTCTCCAACTCCAGCTCCTCTTCTCCCACCACCCCAGGGAGGACGTGCAGGAGACCGTTCCCCAGGAAAAACACCAGTGCCCAGCACTGCTTCCCACTCGAGAAGACGAAGGCTGTGGGTCCCTCCTCCGTCTCTCCAGGATGCCCCAAGGCCACTGCCACCTCCCTTCACACCCCCTTTCTGCGTCTCTCACTTGGCCTGCCCGTGATCGCGCCCCAACTTTGGGCTTTTGAGTTTGGGGGCGTGCAGGACAGGAGTTCAAGGCCCAGTTCCCCCCACAGCCAGGTGGGCCCAGGCCCAGAGGTGGCGCCCAGGCGACGGTTGCCCTCTTGGAGCCCAGCTGTCCCGTTCCCCCCGGGGAGGAGAGGACAGAAGGAGAGAGACCTAGAGCGAGGTCGGGCGGCGAGCGGCCACTTGCAGACGTCCTGGCCACAGTGGGTGTCCCCAGGCCCGGCTGCCGGGCAAGAGGCGAGGCCACGGAGGAGGCGCGCACATGGAAGGCGAGCCGCGCGCCACCAGCGCTCCCCTACTCTGGAAGCCGCTCCTCTTGGAGGCAAAGCTGCAGCTCAGAGGGGCGGGGCAGGGCCGAGGGGCGGGCAGGGGAGGGCTCAGGGTGGCCAGTGAGCCAACGGCTTCCAGCCAGAGCGGCTGGGTGGGCCCTGCGAGTGGCGCGCTAAGCTGGGGCTTCTACCGAGGCGGGACAGGACGGGGCAGAGGCCAAGGGCAGTCAGGGGCCCAGTAAGGACTGGTCAGCCACAGCTCCTCCGGTGGCGCCACCCGGCCAGGAAGCAGGGGGAGGGTGGGGTGGGGACCACAGTGCCCCTGCCCCAGAGGCTGCCTCCAACCCAACTCGCTCGGTGACCCTGGGTCATCAGGTCCACTGCTGGACCTAAATGGGCCCATCTGTTGATTGAGTGCACAACAGCCTCCACCTTGGGCTACTGTGGGATGCAGAACCCGAGCCCGAAACCCGCTGCCACCTCTGGCCCCCAGGGACTTCAGTGGGACCCAGGAGCTCAGAGCTCCCAACACCAGCCCCACCCGCACTCTGCTCCTGCCACATTACTGGACTCCCCAAGCCGGTCCACCTTCTCAGCCAGTATCTTTACCCACCCAGTCGGTCACCCAGGCCAGAAAACTGCGAATCAACCTGGGCTCCTCCCACTGCCTCCTCCCTTTACTCCCCCTCCCAATAATCAGTCTCGAGGGGTGTAGGTTCCACTTAAATGTCTCTCAGATCCCTATTCTCCTTTCCATTCCCTGCACTGACCTCCAGCTCGGATCCGTCAGCTCCGCCCTGCGCCCTGCTGCCAGAATTCAGCCACTCTTTCAGCAAAGGCCAGGGGCCTCCGTCCCTTCCATGGGCACAGGGTGATGAGCCAGGCAGGACACACAGGTCCCTGCTCACATGGTGCTCACAGTCTAGCAGGACAGATCAGCAGTAAAGGAGACCAGATATGATAATGTCAGCTGGTGATAAGTGCTGAGACAATGAAGCGGGGCAATGCACGGAGGGTGGGGGGCTTAAAGCCCACCCATGGCAGATCACAGTGGCGCAATAAGGCAAAGTGCACACAAGTGAATAGAAAGGTTAGGAGTGGGCTTGATAAGTGGACAAGGACATGAAGAGATTGCACAAAGGGTGTGGAAATACAACCGGCTGGAAAATCTGGGAGGGAGACGGTCAGCCTCAGGGGAGGAAAGCGCATCCCAGAAAGAGCTAAGATTTCCCACCTAACACATCCATAAAATCACATCATTTCGAAAGAAGAACACACAGTTCTGGCAAAGCTGCTGTGAAATTGGCGTGCTGTTGTATTGGCGGTAGGAGTGTGGATTGGTAAAACCCTTTTGGAAATTAATTTGGCAATGAGTATCAAGAAATGTTTAAAAATATCCATTCCTTTTGATCGCTTCTGAGAATCTATCTGCAGAAAATAAGCTAAACGAAGGAAAAGCTACGTATGAAAGGACGGACAACACAAAACATTTGTCTAAGGAGTGAAAAACGCAAAGCAACCTGGAAGTCTGACACTGACAGCAGTTGTGCCTGTCCGGCTATTGGAAACACTAGTCTCATGAGCCAGAGAGGCAAGTGAGAAGATGCTTGGGAGGTAATCCTGGGTGGGGGCGGCGATTCCCAGGGGGCTCCACTCTGGCCCTCCCCCAGCGCTCCTCCAGCCTCTGCCTCACTCCGCACCGGCGCCGCCGCACCGGAGAGTTGCTTGCTCTCCAGCCAGGCCCCATGGCGGCTTTGCTGAAGAGCATGCAGGGGCCGCCCCTCCCGGGCCTCCAGGGTGCTTCTACTCTAGCTGCCTGCATCTGAGCCACTCTCCCACTCTCGCTCCCAGCCAGGTGTCCAGATAACGCCCATTCCTCAGGAGCCGCCAGGCGCTCTCCTCCAGGTAGCCTTTCCATCTCATGGAGCTGCCAGTGGGCCTTGACGTGCCCTGCAGCTGCCACTCCAAGAGGCCCCTCTCTCAGTGCGCTTCCGGAGCTCCTGACCCGCACATCCCAGCCCCAGGGAGGCAGATGTGGGCATCCCCTGCTATCTGACCACGAGCACCCAGCCCAGAGGTTCCCACCAGACCTGCTGCAGCCGGGCGGGGGCCTTGGGATGGGCAGGGCTTGAAGGCACCAAGGAGTTCACACAGCATGGCTATACCGAGGCCATGGGGGCTCCATGTGCTTGGAGAGAGGCTGGCCAAGCTCCAGGAGATGCCTGAGGTGTCCAGGATGCTCTCTGGAGAGGGCTTCCGGGAGGTGACTGGAGCTTCAGGGGGAGGAAAGACCTCCACCAAGGGTGAGGGAAGGGGACACCTGGGCCCCAAGAAGCCCCTGGAGGAACAGAGTCAGCCTCTCCAAAGGGCTCCATTGTGGGGCCCCTGTCCCTTGCTTCAGACCCTAGCTGTCACGGGAAGCCCGTGTCCAGCTGTGCCTTGGTGGCTCCCGGGCAGCCCGAGAGGCAGCGTGGGACAGGGAAGGGGGGTCGAGGGGGCAGCGGGGGAGCGGATCCAATCTCGAAAGGGAGTGCTCGGTGCCTGGGAACCTGTTGCCATCTCCGCACTGCAGGGCT